ATGTGATCTAAATATGGCTGTTCCTAGTGTAGAAATTTCTAGACCCCAAACAAAAATCAGTGAGTCCAGATGAACACCCATAATGCACTTTGTTAGCTACCGTTTGTGGTGAGGGTTAGAAAGGATAGCAATCTTTTCTGATTGATGTACTACTAGCATAGATATAAAAAGGTCAAACATCAAAGACAAACTGACCCTCTTTCCCCCTCCCTCTCAATGCAACCTGATTTGTAAGAACCTTTGCTCTAACAGGATGGGCTGGGGTCATACCATGGGGATTTATAATAAACCACTACAGCTTATTTTGCCACTCACCCAGGTAACTCCAGGAATGCCTGAAGTTAGCTCATTTCTAAGGTGTTTGGTCCCATGTCTTCCAGCAAGCCAAAAATACCAGTAAATTTAGAAACAGAATATTTATATGGAAGCAAAAGACCTAAACTTTGCCCTCTGTTGTCATAGTCAATTATTCAGACAGTGAAAATACAATGGAAAAAGGGATTGGCACTCTAGCAACCCCAAATTTGTTTGAGGTAGATGGTCTAAGCAAATACCTTAGAATAGTTCCAGAAGACTGGATTGTGGAGCCTGGTGCCCTGGGGTGAAAGTAGGTGTCTCAGTAATAAATTGGGAGGAGAAGAGAGGGAGGAAGGAGGATGGGAATTGCTTCTCTAGCAAACTCAAGGCTATTGCTGTTATGAGGGGAATACAAACCACCGGGTATCGCTAAGAGTGGGGGCCCTCAGACAAAACTAGAACTCTGACTTACCAGAAGTGTGAGAACTATATCAAACGTCTATGTACCACTCGCTGTAAGTCCTTTATGTGTTTTCTATATTTTCTTTGGGGTGAAATATAGACTGTCCTATATCAATGCCCATGGTTGCCTTAGGATGCTTGTATTGGGGGTGGAGATTCTTTTGCCCACATCTGTGAATACTTAGACAAGACCTGTAGTCAGTCTATATTCTGCAATTTTCCATTGGCAACTATGAATGAGGACAAAATGAGGCCAAGGTAAGATTTTTCTGACTACCTTCAAAATTTAAATCCTGCCTATATGATTCCATATAAACCTAGGGCAGCTAGATGGAACAGAGGATAGAACGCCAGTCCTGAAGTCAGGAAGACTCATCTTCCTAAATTCAAATCTATCCTCCTACACTTACTAGCTATGTGACTCTGGGCAAATCACTCAACCCTGTCTGCTCAATTCCTCAATTATAAAATGAGCTGGAGAAGGAAATGGAAAATCACTCCACTATCTTTGCCAAGAAATCTCCAAATGGGGTCACAAAAAGTCAGACTGAAATGTCTGAACAACATATAAACCCAGATCATAGGGGACGTTTGTGTATATATTGTATTCTGTGGGGACTTGTGGATGGGACTCTAGCTTTTTGTCTTTGTATCTTCTGCATCTAGAACAGCAATTTGTATATATACTAGGTGATGGATGAGTTTTCCTTAAATTTAACATTTATTCAGCACAGGAATGAGCACTAAACTGGTAGAATATAATCATAAGCAATATTCCCAAAGAGTTGTCTGATTACCCTTCCCCACCCTCAACAATCTGGATCTTAAGTAAATTTATAACTCCAACAGGACAGGGCTCTACTACATTTCAGCAAACAGACTTCAGGCTGAAAACTTTAAAGCAGAGTCTACATCTTGGTTCAGATCCCTGCTTCTCCTTTGCAGAAAACCCCTTATTTCAACCTCTTTTTTTTTTATCTTGTTAAGTCCAAACTGCTAACTTCATCAAAAGTCTCAGCTCATCCACTGATCACTATTGCTGCAGCAACTCTGAGATCTTGGTGAATAGTTCATATTTTTGTCACAGAGGAAAAAGAGGCTTTTCTTGGGGATAAGTCTGGTCATTCTCACTATGAATGGAAAGAGAGGTGGAGAAAAGGAAGCAAAAAATAAATTGGCCAAATGGAAAAGGAAGTCCAAAAGCTTACTGAAGAAAATACTTCCTTAAAAATTAGAATAGAACAATTGGAAGCTAGTGACTTTATGAGAAATCAAGACACTGTAAAACAAATCCAAAAGAATGAAAACTTAGAAAAGGAAGCAAAAATAATCAGGGAGAAATAGTGAAACAGAGATTTTTTTTAAAGCTCTGTTGATGTTGCAGTTTGAGGTGCTGGGAACCCTGAAATGCAAGGATACAGGGCAGGTCTGCCTGGAAAGAATTTGACCACTAAAGCCTTCTTTGAGTCAGAGTACTGAGGTTTTATTATGACACCAATTAGGAGGGCAAGATTTCTAGTGAATCTGCACAATATTGTGATACCAATAGAAGCAGGTGAGATTCTATTATAAATCTACACAATTTAATGGGGGTAAGATTGGTATTTTTATATAGATAAAAAACTGTGAGAAAATTTGGATGGGATTAAAAAGTGGCAAGTAAGTTAATTAAGGTGGGTTGGGGTGGGCCAGATGCCTTGGACTGAGGCACCAGTGATCCTGGCTACTGAAATGTATGGGAAAATTCAGGATCTGGGTTACTGTCAAAGACATGGTCTTTTCCTTTATGGGTCCAGGTCCTATCATTGATAAATACCTCAGACAGTCTTCTGATTGAATTTCTTCCTCTCATCATTTTACTAAAATTGTTCTCAAAGGTAACTAGCAACACAATTCTGTAACTTTTTCCAGTACTCAACTTCAGTTTTTAACATGGTTAACCACTAAGCTTCTGGAAACACTCCTCACTTGGCTTCAGAAACATAGCATTCTCATAGATCTCTTCCTGTCTCTGTAGTGATAGTTACTTGGGGAAAGGTAGGAATAAAGGGGATAGGCTGCAGAACCTTCCAAGGCAGTTGACAGGTTAGCTACTGGGGTCAGACTGGAAGCAGGATGGTGGTCCAAGGGAAGGGAGGGAAATGTTATTCCTTGGACTCTTAGGCTCAGAACATAGTGAAAAGAAATCCTTTGTAATCAGAAGCCTTGAGTTTCATTTATGGATTAAATTATTAGGTGTGTGACCTTGAGTAAATTAACTAATCCCTCAGGATCTCTAAAATGTGGTGATGAACGAGATAATTTCAAAGGTCTCTTTTGGCTATAAACGCCTTCCCTCCCAACAAAGCTGGAATTTTAGTGGAAAGATTTTGAGAAAAACTACAAAAGACTAATTTCTATTTAAGGTCTCAAGTTACATGATACAATATTTTATTATAGGTTGAATATAGATACTTTACTAAATATACTTATTAGTGGATGACCCTAGTGGATGGTGAGCTTTATTTCCTCTTAATCACCTGAGTAGGATAGATCTCAAGCCTAGTCAGAAAGACCTGAGTTCAAATCCAGCCTCAGACACTACCTGTGTCACCTTGGGCAAGTCAATTTGCCTCCGTTTCCTCATCTGTAAAATGAGAAGAAAAGGGCAAACCACTCCATGAAGTCTCTGAAAAGACAGACACTAGTGAACAATAAATCACTTTCAAATGCTCTTTACCTCAACAACAACAGTTCAAAGAACTGATCTAAATTGACCACCAAGAATAAGTCAATAGGTATTCCTTAAACCTCAATTCAGTAAATAGATTTTTAGAGGTGTGATTTTAAAGTACCCAGGATCTTATACTTAGAGGTGCAAGGAGACCAACTCCTAATTTTAAAGAGTAGAAAACTAAGGCCCAATGGAAGTGACTCCTCCAAATGTCACATTGGGTTAGAGGGTATGAACTCAGCTTCTGTGCTTCCAAATCCAGGGCTCTGCCTCCTGTAATTCAAGTAAACGGGCATTTATTGAGCATTCACTTTGTGATAATGGTCTCTGAACGAGGAAGTAAAAGAGAGAAAAATTCCCAATAATTGGTTATTAATAGAAAAATAATCATTTCTCTCATTATCTTTGTAGGACTGAGCAGAGTGAGGGACCCCACCCAACTGGGAGAGTTTTTTTCTGATTAAAGCATAAAGAGAATCCAAACTAGGTGAATTCCATGCTCAAAAGCATTGGGCTCACACCCCCTTAACTCCACCGTAGTTCAGTTTCAGTGGTCTGGGTGGAGATAGATTCTTTTGTCCAGAATGTTGGAGACAGCTGAGTCTCCAGATTAAGTTAAATTCACAACCGGAGGAGCTGAAAACGTTTGGTCCACCTCCTCATTAACATAAGCACACCCTCATTGATTATTCACTAATCAGGGTTGATCTCAGCCTTGTCAGGGCCACCCACTTTTCCCGAAAGGTATTTACGGACTGATGATCCCCATTGTTTTCTGTTTTTGGTTACCAAGAGAAACCAACAGCCATCAATTTGTTGATTATTTGCTAGCTTAATCTATACATTATTAATTACCCAGAAACTCTGTCTCCCTGACTTTTCATTTATCTCAATAAGAAGACTGTGCTAAGTAATCCCAGAACATAAACAAACAAAAATTTTAAAAGCTCCTGCATATCATCAAAGAGGTTACATTCTACTGACTTCACTAAAAACTTTGAGAGTAAAGGGGGAGGGGGTCATGGAGGACTTATATTGTTTTTATTATTATTAAACACTAAAAATAGCTAGTGTTTTTACGTAGTGCCTTAAGGTTTGCAAAGCGCTTTATAAATATATTATCTTCGTTTCAGTATTACAGAATTGAGAATGTTGCATTCTGCCTGAATAAAACGCTTGTAGATGAAGTCTCTCTCAGCCTTACTAGAAGGATAAAGAGTCCTCACCAAGAGAGGAAGCACAGACTTTTCAGACTGACAGGGTGCGAACACAAAAGGGTGTAAATAGAGAGGACTGGCCCGCTTCCACAAAAGGGCACAGAGAGGACGGGGCTCGCTCTCACAAAAGGATGTGAGTAGACAGAAGAACACAATCAGGGTTGGAAAATATAGCGCGGAGAGGTCAAAGGAGAGGCGTTTTTTGCGGGAGGCGAGTGTAAGACGTGCAGCGCGAACGCCGACAGCAGCCAGGAAGGAAGTGCCTGCAAACTACAAGTCCCAGAAGTCAGCGGGGGCGCCGGCAGCGCGGAAGGAGGCCGAGACGCGGGCGGGCGACATTTGCCCCGCGGCCCCACGGAGGGGGCTCTGGCTGAGGGAATATGTCGCTGCCCAAGAAGAGAAAGACGGACTCGGCGGACGGTGGCGGGGGAGAGGGCAACGGAGGTGGAGAAGAAGATGATGGAGGGGAGCGCGACCCGGGCGGGCTGGAGGAGGCCCGGGAGACGGAGCAGGGCGCGCGAGACCGCCTCTACTACGAATGTTACTCGGACGTGTCTGTGCACGAGGAGATGATTGCCGACCGCGTCCGCACGGACGCCTACCGCCTGGGCATCCTGCGCAACTGGGCGTCGCTGCGGGGCAAGACGGTGCTGGACGTGGGCGCGGGCACGGGCATCCTGAGCGTGTTCTGCGCCCAGGCCGGCGCGCGGCGGGTGTACGCCGTGGAGGCCAGCGACATCTGGCAGCAGGCCCGCGAGGTGGTGCGGCTCAACGGGCTGGAGGACCGCGTGCACGTGCTGCCGGGCCCCGTGGAGACGGTGGAGCTGCCCGAGCGCGTGGACGCCATCGTCAGCGAGTGGATGGGCTACGGGCTGCTGCACGAGTCCATGCTGGCCTCCGTGCTGCACGCGCGCGCCAAGTGGCTCAAGGAGGGCGGCCTCCTGCTGCCGGCCTCGGCCGAGCTCTTCTTGGCGCCCATAAATGACCGGACCCTGGAGTGGCGCCTGGGCTTCTGGGGGGAGGTGAAGCAGCGCTACGGTGTGGACATGAGCTGCCTTGAGGGCTTCGCCACTCGCTGCCTCATGGGGCACTCGGAGATCGTGGTGCAGGGCCTGACGGGCGAGGAAGTGCTGGCCCGGCCGCAGCGCTTTGCCCAGCTGCAGCTGGACCGCGACGGCTTGCAGCAGGAGCTGCAGGCCGGCGTGGGCGGGCGCTTCAGCTGCCGCTGCTATGGCTCAGCCCCCATGCACGGCTTCGCGCTCTGGTTCCAGGTCACCTTCCCCGGTGGGGACGGCGAGAAGCCCCTGGTGCTGTCCACGTCGCCTTTCCACCCAGAGACTCACTGGAAGCAGGCGCTCCTCTACCTAGACGAGCCTCTGCAGGTGGAGCAGGACATGGACATTTCCGGGGAGATCACCCTCTCGCCCTCTCGGGACAACCCCCGCCACCTGCGGGTCCTGCTCCGCTACAAAGTGGGGGACCAGGAAGAAAAGACTAAGGACTTTCGCATGGGGGATTGAGCCTGGACACCAGACCCTCCCCCCCCCATTCCCAGCTTTCCCTGGGCGGGATGGGAGAGGGATTGGAAAACTTGGGAGGGAAGGAAGGCACTAGGACAAAACTGAGATTTCCAGCTGCCTTTTACCGCGTTTGGAGTTTGGGAAGAGGGATGGAAATTGCTGTGGCCTCAGTCTTCTCTAGAGGAGACTTAACTTTCGGGTGGTTTTAATGCTATTTTTGGAAAAGTGCTTACTAAAGATTTTTTAAACCTCAAGATGCATGTAGCACAGAGCACTTTTTTGTCCTTCGTTCGCTGGGGGATTTGGGAAGGGAGGAAGGAGAGAAGTTCCAGAAAGGGAGATAGCATTTGGTCCTCTCCTCCTCTTTTAGGCTGAAGTTCAGAGAGATCTCGAAAGATCTTCCAGTGAGGCCTTCTGAATTTCTAGTCTGATAAATCTTTCCAGTGCCACATTTTCTCGATCTGAGAACTTTTCCGCCTCCCAATGGCCTTTTTTCCTGTGTTCTTCTGCCTAAGACATTGTCATATCTAAATACTATTCTTGGATTGTAATGAACATTGTAGCAATAAGGACAGGTATAAAGTGAACAGCAAGGTTGCGCTCAATTTTAAAATAGCCATGTTCTCTGGAATATTTCCTATTTATAGATTTGTGACATTGGTGGGGTGCTAAAGTGAATTGGGCACATTATTCCATTAAGTAAAGTGGAATGTTACTTCCCAGTTTCACAGCCTAACCTAAGAAACTTCCATGGTGCATTGTATGGTACAACAGTTGAAGGGTAATAAATGTTTAAACTAAATGTTTTTCCCTTACTCAGTTAATATCTTTCTAAGAAAATATACAAGTTTCCAATTTCCTTTTTTTTTAAAAGGAGAGACTTAAGAATATAAATTATTTTAATTCTTATTGGATAACTGGGGTTGGAATGTACTGCCTCAATTTCTGATCTATGGGTTTTTTTTCTTAAACCTCTGATAATATTGTTTCAACCAATTAACAGAAAAACAAGGCCTTTAGAAGAATACTTGTTTTTTAGGTAGAATATTCATTCTCTAAATCCCCTGATTTAGACAGATCATGTGGCCTGGCCTTTAAGACCTGAACTGAAAAGCATTTGAATCTTTGTTTCCCTTTTATCTGAGCCAAAAGTGAAGTCTTGTGAACATGATAGGTTCCCAAAAATGAAGTGTGTTCCTCCTTTTTATTGGTATTTTGTTTTTATTTTCTCTATAGTGACAATTTTGACATTTTTCATTTTTCTAAATGAGATAAGAAACCTTGTCCAGTGTCTGTGATTTGCGTTTTTGTTTTGTTTTTTGGTCAGCTCTGGAGAAAAGTCAGAAACTCCTTAAGAATATGTAGCCTCAGGGAAATTAAAAACAAAGTGGATTTTTTGTCTTGTTTTCTTTTAAACATCCCAACAGAAAATTGTTAGACATGAACAAATTACATTCCAAAGTAGTCACTTTTATTTATTTCAATACTTAAGATGTTTAAGAGATTCCTCATCTTTTTTGTTGCAGATTAAAGTATTGTAAATAAGTTGCTGTGATTAATGTTTGATGTAAGAATTCTTTCTCTGAGGGGGAGCCTTTATTCATAGATCACCATGTTTACATGTTTACTGAATGTCAATAAAAATTATACTTTTGTTACCACTCTTGTATGCAGATAATTTTAATAGATTATTATTTGTAAGTGGTATATGGCTAGAAAGTTACTTAATTTAAACCAAAGTTGGTGGGAAATAGCTTTTTTTTTCTTTTTTAATCTTAAGGTTATGCGTGTGCTGTGTTGCTGTGTGTGTGTGTGTAGGGTTTTAGTCAGCTATCTGCTGTAGAAAAAGGGACTTTGCTATAGTAACCTTTTTGTTACATGATCGATTTGTTACTTGTGATGTACATACTGTAGCACTTCACAGAACAGCATCATAGTATACTTTCAAATTGTTTTCATATTTTATAAAAACAGTATAGTTACTGTCACCAGCAAAATACTCATCCATATTTTCTTTAAGTTTTTCAAAGCAAAGCATCTACTTTATCTCATGTTATCCTCATTAACAGTGCTAGTAGTGTAGATGCTCCAGTTTTACAGACAAGGAGACAAGGAAGTATTTGTAAGTGACGTGCTAAGAAAAACCACTGAGCTAGGTCAGTGATCTTTGCACTTAAGGAATGGTAGAATGATAGCATTCTAATAATAGCTAGACAATTATATAACATTTTAAGGTTTGTCAAGCATTTGACATGTTATCTCATTTGATCCTCACGACAACCGTGTTAGGTAGATGTTGTCCCCATTTTTTTTCAGACAAGGCAGCAAGCTGTTAAATGTTAAAGACCTGTCTTGTCTAGGGTCATACAGGTAGTATGTGACTGAGGGTTGGATTTGAACTCAAGTCTAACTGATACCAAGTTCAACTCAATGCACTGTCCCTTTGCTGTCTGAATTCAGTGATTAAAACCTTGCTTTCACAAATGAGAAAACAGGCCCAGAGAAAGGAAATGATTTGCTTCAGATTATAAAATGAGCAGAAAAAAGAGTTTGATTTGAAGAAGTCAAGAAAGGTCACTAGCATGGGGTCCCCGTTACTTTTATTCAGAAGTAGTTAGTCCCATCACCTACTGAATAAAGTGCAAATTTCTGATCCTGGCTTTGGAAACCTTCCTCAGCCTAGCTCCAAGCTGCCATTCCCAAGTTTGTCTCACACTGCTTCCACTCATACTGTTTTTGTTCTTATTGCTGTTTTTCCATTCTCTCTCCTCATTCTATCATTTATTTCAGTGCCTTTGCTTGCAGATATCACCTCATCCCAACTTTATCTCCTAAAATTATTAACTTCCTGGAGAGCCCAAATGAAGGATCAACTCCAGGAAGCCTTCTGGGATTCCCCCTCCCAGGTGATAATGATCTGGGTTTTTTTTTTTTAAAGCATTTTGCCTGAACCACTCTCTCCATTTTATCACATTCTCCTTTACATCGTAGTTATTTGTGGATGTCTTCATAAAGTCCTTAAAAAAAGTGTCCCAGGCACTTTTATATTTAGATATCCTCAGAATACCTAATTTGTTTTGAACATAGTAGGCACCTAGTAAATGTTGAATTGAAGCCTCCCATTAGGGAAAGAAAAATACTCTCTGAAAATGGGTCTACAAAAGCAGGTCGATATTGGGACACTTGAACATTTCCAAAATGTGTTTCATAGCAGGTCTTGTGCTTGCGCAATTCTGGTTTGATGCAAAGGAAACAGAAGAACATTAACCTGTTTCTTGATGTTGTTATGGTGGCATACAAAGCCAGCATGTTATCAATGCTAAATACTTCTAAAGAGAGGGACAGCAGTACAGTAGGAAAGTCTCTAAACTTTTCAGGAGTCTTGGAATCAAATCATGCCTGTAAAACACTACTTGTGTGATGTCAGGCAGATCACTTTAACTTTCCTGGGTCAGTTCACTCATCTATAAAACGAGCGGGTTGGATTACACAGCCTCAGGTCTCTTAAAAATAGCAATCATTTATATAGCACTCTAAGGTTTTCAAAGCACTTATTAGAAGTTTCTTATTTTATTCTCATGGGGAATCTTGAGAGGGATGTGCTATTATCCCTATTTTACAAATAAGGAAACCTAGGCTGAGAGAGAGCTAGGGCAACACAGTCAGTAAACATCTGAGTCAGGATTTGAACTCAAATCTTGCTGACTCTAGTCTAGCTTTCTCTATCACCTATCTGCTTTCAATTCTATAATCCTGTGGGTATGGGCTCTGGTTCTGTCATTTAGTAGCTATGAGACCTTGGGTAAATAAACATTATGGGCCTGGCCATGTGCTAGGGATTGGGAGAGCTATACACTTAAAATATGACATGGTGCCAGTCCTCAAGGATAGTGCCTCTCCTCGATCCCAAATGCATCAATGTCAACTTGGAAGGAGGTTTCCATTGTAGTGCTCCAAGGATCAGTTTACATTTTCATTACTGACTTGGATAAAGGCAGAGATGGCATGCTTGTCAAATATGCAGATGACATAAATCTCCAAAGGATATCTAATACATCATATTATCAAGTCAGCTTCCAAAAAGATCTTGATTAACAAATCGAATAAGAGCCAATAGAATAATAGGGATAAATATAGTTTTACACATCAGTTCAAAATAATTATGATATATTAGAGGTGTGACTAGACATCAATCCATGTGAAAGATTAGGTATGAGTGTGAATGAGAAGGAAGAGAGAGTTGACTGCAGTTGTGAATCTGAGTGACTGGGCAAAAAAAAATTGGAAGGTTTGGAAGTAAGGTAGGCTCCATTTTGGACATGCTATATTTGAGGAAGAAATAGCAGAGAGTGGACATTGTGTGATAAATTCAGGAGAAAGATTAAGACTAGATAGAAAAATTTGATTGGGAGTCATCTGCAAAGATGATAGCTGAACTCATGGTAGTTGATAAGATCTCTAAGATATCTAACAGCAACCTGGTCTCCTTCCCTATCTCAGCACTCACAGGTTTGCAGGTTGGGTCCTTAAGGAGTGACTACTCTCATAGGTTCAAGGGTACTCTTCAAGTATGCATTCTTAAAACTATAGCTTATGAGAGCCCACCATTGTACTTAACCCTAAAGAGTCAGCCAGCAGACACAATTAGTTCAAAGTAAAAGTAAAAGCATTTCCTAGGGCAGCTGGGTGGTGCAGTGGATAGAGTGGCGGGCCCGAAGTCATCTTTCTGAGTTTAAATCTAGCCTCAGACACTCACTAGCTATGTAACCCTGGGCAAGTCATTTAACCCTGTTTGCCTCAGTTTCCTCATCTGCAAAATGAGCTGGAGAAGGAAACAGCAAACCACTCCAGTATCTTTACCAAGTCCTGACCAAATGTGGTCACAAAGTGTCAAACATGACTGAAATGGCTGAACAACAACAGAAGCATTTACTAAGGTAACATTATAACAACAATAACTACGTATTTCACCTATAAACCTGTGGGGCACTATTCTCAGAAATGCCCACAATATTAATGGGGAGAGTGGATACAAACAGTAAACTGGTAACAAATTAAAAATATATAGGGAACAAGTGGTGAAGGCAAATCAAACATCTAGTACTGCAGGGCCCAAATGTTCTACCTTTCTTTGTAGGGTTCTCCCAAAGCTTACCAATGGCATCTCCATTGGGATATTGCTTAGTTTGCTAAGTTTTTACCTTTGCTAAATTTGCTTAGCTAGACGTTTTTGGCTATCTCCTGTCAACTGCTTGGCTCTGTACTGTGACCTTCTATAGGAGGCTTTTCCTGTCTTTTCTTCCCACCATCCACCCTCTACCCGTAACTGCCAATACTCACCCTCTCATGATTCTTTGTATCTACTTAGTGTGCACTCTGTATGTACTTCAATATGTGCATGTTTCGCTCATCAGAATATGAGCTCCTTGAGGGCAAGAACTGGTTTTGCTTTTTCTTTCCCTAGGATTTATCATAGTTCCTGACACATAGTAAATGATTAATAAATACTTTTTGATTGAATTATTTTTAGTGTCCTCAACCAAGGTGGCACATTGTTTCTGAGGGAAGCCCAAGCCTGAAAAGCAGTAAATTCTTCTGGTTCTATTATAAGAAACTCTTTAGCATCTATCATTATGCTGGGTTTGTGTCCCAACTACACTGTAAATTCCTTGGGGATATGGATTTGATTCATTGGTTGATTAATTGATTGATGCTGTCATTGCTACTTTGGAGTTGTTTTCACTCATTTCTTCTCTCTCCTCTCACCCCATTTTCTCATCCCAATCCTGTTTTAACGACTTGCTCCAGGCCCCAAAATAACTAGTCATATTTCTCCTGGCAGACTGTGAACTGTATCTACAGACTTTTGAAGGAAGCTCTGATTGACTCAAATGGTCCATGAGAAAGGCAACTAGCCAACTGCAAAACAATGAGGTTATTTTAGATAAACTCTGAGGTCCCTTCTAGTTCTAAAACTATGAAATGTGAACTCCTGACACACACCCCTTCTCATAGCCAAATGTGTAGCAGCAAGGTTGTTGTAACAACATTTACATGTCTCTTCATTGTAGTTTGAATATACATCTATATGACACCATACACACTTAATGTCAGGTATATATCTGTACTGAGAGAGGCAACATGGCATAGTTGACAGAGGAACCTGGAGTCCTAAAGAACTTGGTTCACATCTTTCTGCTGATATTTAACAGCTGTGTATTTCTGGGCATGATACTTAACTCCTCCCAGGCAATTCTCTAAAACCTGTCTCTAAGTTTCACAGTATTATAAATCATGGTCTTATTGCATATATATCCATGACGAATATAAACCGTCCAACACATTTGAATTTTTCTCAAATTTTTCTCTTGCCCCCACCTAAATTAACAATCCTTCAAAATCAAAGTTGATAGAGTTGTAAATTATCAGGCCTCTTCTAGAAATCTACTGGACCAGCCTAAGTTGTGATATGAAGGGAAAAGTCGATATTATTAGAGTATTTTATAATGTGTGATGCATTTGTGTGTGTGTGTGTGTGTGTGTGTGTGTGTGTGTGTGTGTGAAGAGATTTGAGAGAGAAGGAATATAGGGGAGAAATACTTTAGCAAGAAATAAGGAGACTGGAACCCA